CTTGTCCTGGAGAATCACAGCATCACTGGATCACTGAAGTCTCAGTTGTGACCGGAGGCCAAACTGGAGTTATTCTGTAGCTGGGCTGTAGGCAAGAGAACTAGGCTAACCAAATGATTTATCCCTAGAATTATGTAGCATTGCTCCCAACAGTAAAAGAAAACAAAAAAATTTTTTTTCTGATACAAGATTGAATCAAAGATGATGCATTGCATTTAGTTGTCTTGCCTGCTTTTCTTTTGCATTCAAAATTATTTTTAAAAATTGTACATATTTATGAGGCACACAAGGATACACATATATAACATGTGGTCAGCCAAGCAGGTAATTAGCATTAGTCCTTTTGCCTTTAATCTCCTTTAGTTAGGAAGCATTCTTCAGTTATTATCTTTTATGACCTTGGCATTTTTGAAGTGTACAGGCCATTTACTTTGTGGAATCTTTCTCACTGTAGGTCTGTCGGCTGTTTCCTGTTAATCTCATTCATATTATTCATTTTTGGCAAAAAGTAGTGCAAATGTGCTGTTGTGTCCTTAGCAGATGTTAACTCTGATCACTTGATTAAAGTGGATCCTCACTGTAGTAACTGTTTTTTTCTTTTGCACTTAATTATCATCTGAGAGATTTTTGGTATTTTGAGTCAGGGTTTCACCATGTAGTTTAAGCTGGCCTCGAACTGACAGTGATACTCCTGCCTCAGCCTCCCGAGTACTGGGATTAGAGGCGTGTGCCACCGTGCCTGGCCATGAGAGATACTTTGAGTCTATTCTGTTCCTCATCAAACTTCCTACCCAGTAGTTTTATCACCCACTGATGATTCTTGCTGAAATTTTTATTATGGTTGTTGCTGAATGATGATTTTCCAGTTCATTGTCGCTTCTGTATTTATGAGTCCACCTTCTGGTGTCAGGAAGAACTTTCCCTTCTCTGTTTTCCTTCACTTGTTTATATATTTTTATTTCATTCTGTCACTTATAATCCACTAGTGTTATTGTTTATTTGGATGCTCAAATAACTGCATAGTTGGCTAGTGGGAGCTCCTTTCCGTGCCCTGTTATATATATCTCTCTTTAATTTCTAGCACAGTAAGGCATTGTAGACTCATCTTATTCTTTCCCTGGCTGAACCTTGGAGTCAGCCATTGCTCTGGGAGCTCTGGTTCATTGAGTGGTAAATGGGATTTAGAAACCACAGTCTGAGTGGCAAATATGTTCACTGCTGCCGGGGTATCGGTGCTCCAAGGCCCTCAGTGTAGAGTGCTAGGAGTTGCTTGATTGTATATATGCACACACCTTGTCTGTACTTACCTGTTCTTAACAACCACAAGTTCAGACAGAAATTTCCAGTTTTAATCTAATTCTCGAAGGGTTCAATTTGCCCTTCTACCTTTTCACATTTGTAATTTCCGACAGTAAGAAATTTGGCTCCATTACCTACAATATATTTATTTAATTCCTTAGTCCTTAAGCCGGGTGTGTAGCACAGGCCTGTAATCATAGCACTCAGGAGGCTGAGGCAGGAGGATTACCATGAGTTCAAGGCTAGCCTGCACTACATAGCAAGACGCTGACTCAAAAACAAAACAAAAAGAAAAACCAAACAAGAAGAAGAAAATAATTCCTTAATCCTTGAATACATTTATAATAGCTTCAGATTTGTGAATTTATACCACAGTGAAAAATAAACCTAATTGGAGTCTACAATAATTTACAGTTCTTTTTGAGAGTGCAGTCAAAATACTGTGTTCAGCTGTTGCCAAGATTCATTCCCCCTTTCTTACCCTGCTTTCAGTGTGGTTGTGATACTCATTTAAAATAACTGACTCCATTGTTTTTGCTAGTATTTCATTTGGGGTTTGTTTTGCCTATTCTCGCAGACTTTAAAACTCTTGTTTCAAACTGGGTATGGTGGTGCATGCCTATAGTCCCAGCACTCTGGGAAGCTAGGGAGGAAGATCCCATATTAGAGCTCAGCCTGGGCAGCTTAATGAGATCCTGTTTTGAAGCAAAAAATAAAGGGGTGGGTGATAAGCCCTGGAGAGACCAGCAGTGCCAAACAAAAACAAAAAACTTATTTTGAGCAAGATAATAATGTAGTTCTAAATGTTAGAATTTTTAAAAATCCACACTTAAAACTAGGTCCTCCCCATGCTTTCTACTCTGTTCCCATAACCTTCCTGACCATCCCCATTGGTACCCACTCTAATTTGTTTCTGGTTTTCCTTTTCTGTGCTTCTTTTTGCACAAATGATCAGGTACTTGTTTATTTCTCTTTTCCTTTTCTTTTTTCCACGAGAGGTAACATGTTAGAGGCACTCTTGCTCTTTGCTTTTTTCATTTAATATATCCTAGAAACCACTCCATGTCATTTCATAGAGATCCTTGTTCTTTTTCATTGCTGTGTAATCCAGCTGCTTTTCCTTGAGAGACATTTATGTTGTTTGCAGTATTTTATTATTCACTGCAGTACTGCAGTGAATGAATAACCTTATGCACATGCATTTTCATATTGTTGGAGATGTTTTTTCAGAGACTCCTAAAAGTGATAAATGTATGGGATTTTTGTGACAATTTTGAATGTACTTTTAGTATACACTCAGTATTATTAAATCTGGTCATCATGCTATAGATTAAATGTCTGGAATTATTCATCCTATATAAGTACAACTTGTACCCTTTGACTAACATCTCCCCAGTTCTCTCCTACGTCACCTCTGGTAACCAGCATTATATTCTCTGCTTCTGTGTATTTGACTTTTTAGATTCCACATGTAAGTCAGGTTGTCTGTGTCTGGCTTATTTCACTCCAGCAGATTGATCTACGATGTTTCTTTCTTCATTCATTCATTGAGAACATGAAGATTGTGGAGTCCATATGTTAGCTATTGTGAATGATGCTGTAATGAACATGGGAGTGTAGGTATCTCTTTAAAGTACTGATTTCAGGGGCAGGGATTTAGCTCAGTGGTTTCGCGGCCTGCTGCACAAGCACAAGGACCCGAGTTCGATCCCTGGTACCAAAAAAAAAATAAAATAAAATAAAGTACTGATTTCATTTCTTTGGGATCCATATCAAGCAGAGGTGTTGCTGGAATATATGCTAGTTTTATTTTTTATTTTTAGGGGCTGTTTTCCATAATGGCTGTGCTAATTTACATTTCCATTAAGAGTATGCAAGGGTTCCTTTTTCTCTACATCTGTGAAAACATTGTCTTTATAAAAATCTTTTTTATAATAACCATCCTAAGAAGTGTGAGTTAATATCTCATTGTGATTTGGATTTGTGTTTCCCTAATGATTAGTGATGTTGAGCATTTTTTCATAATCTGTTGGTCATTGTTATCTCTTTGGAAAAGTATCTATTCATATCCTTTGTTTTTAAATGAGGCGTATGTGGTTATTTGGGCTGTTGAGTTGGCTTTCTTACATACTGTGACTATTTTTTTTTTTTTAGTACCAGGGATCAAACTCGGGTCTTGTGCTTGCACCGCAGGCAGCAAAACCACTGAGCTAAATCCCTGGCCCATGTGACTATTTTTATAGAAGCAAAAAACAAAAACATTTTCCATTTTAATGCATTTATGCCGCAGATTGTAATTTTTAAAGTTTTTGCATGAAATTCATATGTGTTACCTAGAAAAATTCAAGGAACAAGAATTTGAAGAAAAAATTTTATTATGTTCCGTTGTTATGGGTATTCCACAACTGGAGCACTAGGCGCTGAAGGGGTGAGTGATCGTTCTGAAGTGTTTGGTGGCCTTGGGCACATTCATGTCTGCTGTCACCACTGCTCCCTGGCCATCTCTAGGACTTTATCACTCCAAACTGACCCTGAGTTCATTAACTATCAATCTCCCTGTTCCTCCCTTTCCGTCGACCTGCTAGCTGCTGTTTTGTGAATTTGATTGTTCTAGGTGTCTCTTATAAGTGGGATCTTGTAGTATTTATTCTTTTATATCTGGCTTGTTTCACTTTACACTGTCTTCAGGACTCATGTATAGCGTTGTCAGGATAATCCTCCTCTGTAAGACTAAGTATTCCATGGTATGCATAGATCAGATTTTGTTTATTCAGTCCTCTGCTGAGGGATTGTTTTCATCTTTTGGCAGTTTAAATCATGCTGCTGTGAACACTGGTGTGCAGATAGATACCTGTGGAAGTCCTGCTGTCAGGTCTCTGGGATACATGCCCAGAAGTGGAATCACTGGAGCACACTGGAATTCAGTGTTTCATTTTTTTAGGAGCCACTCCTCTGCTTTCTATAATGGCTAAATTTTATGTTCCCACCAGTAAAACACAGTTTCCAGTTTCTCTATATCCTTAATAACACTTGTTCTTTCTTTTTTTACATATAATAGTCATCTTTGTGGCTGTGGAATAGTATTTGATCGTAGGTTTTTAAAATTGTATGTATGTGTGTGTGTGTGTGTATGTATGTATGTATGTGTGTGGTACTGGGGATTGAACTCACGGCCTTCTCACTGAGCTACATCCCAGCCCATTTTATATTTTTAAATTCTGAGACAAGGTCTTGCTAAATTGCCCAGGCTAGGCTTGAAATTGCAACTCTCCTGCCTCAGCCTCCCAGAGTGCTGGGATTATATGTCTGTGCCACCAGGCATGGCTTGATTGCGGTTTTGTTTTGCATTTCTCTGAAGATCAATGATGTTAGGTGCATATGTGGATGTTGCCAGTTTCTTCTCTAAAAGGAAAAATTACTTTTTTTTTCTGTTCCTCTTTTTTTGTTTTTATTCTTTTATTGTTACCTTTCAGGTATGCAGTACGTTTACATTTATCATTGGGTGCTTGTACCTGTACATAATGTATCTTCGTTCTTAGGAAAAAATTACTTTCATACAGTGTGTGCATTCCTGTTTCCTTATAGCTTCTCATTACAGAACATAATTTCACAGCTTTACGCTTTCCCCAGAGAGGTGGGAATTGGTATTTCAGTGTAGCTTTAACTTCATTTCTCTAGTTATGAGCGCGATCAAACATTTCTAGACTTAAGGACCATTTTTGGTATATGTGTTTGTGTGTTTTAATTGTCTGTTTTTCTATTTGGGTTTTGTTCTTTTCCTTGATGTTTTGTGGAGTTTTTTTTTTTGGTACTCAGGATCGAACTCAGGACCTTACGCTTAAGAGGTAGGTGCAGTGCCACTGAGCTAAATCCCTGGCCCACATTTTATGGAGTATTTATCTTCTTCATATGAAGTTCACACTTTAAAAAACTCTTTAAGTATTTGTAACATAGCAGTTTATCTGATATCAGAGTTTCAAATATTTCCAGTTTTTCAATTGTCTGCATTTGTTTAGGGCAATTGTGGGGTGGGGGGGCTGTCTTGCTGTGTAGACCAGGCTTGCCTTGCTCCTGTGATTCTCCTTCCTCAGCCTTCTAAGTGGTGGGATTATAAGCAGGTGCCATTGTACCCTCTCTTTTAAAACACTTTTATGTGGTTAAATGTATCAGTGTTTCTTTCATTGTGTGTAGTTTTTTTAATGTTTTGTTTTGAGGCACGGTATAACAATGTACCTATGCTGGCCTTGAACTCATAGTGATCCTCCTGCCCCAGCATCCCGAGTGCTGGGATTACAGGCGTGCACCACCACGCCAGGCTTGTATGTAGATTCTGAGCAGTTGTTAAAAACTCTTTTGTTATAGCTAGGCTATAGAGAAATTGCTTATATTTTGTCCTAGTGATGGTTGGGTTTTACATTTCATGCTTAGGTTCTTGATACATTTGGAGTGCATTCTCCTGTTTGATGTGAGAGGAGTGTCCTGTTATCTCTTTTCCACATGGATAACCTGTTGTCCAGCACAGTTGGTTATTTAGTTCATCTTCCCCTGAGCTTTGGGCCTCCATCTTTATCATTAACTGCATGTCCATGAGCACCGGGATCTGTTCTTGGACTTTTCCATTCTGTTCTGTCAGCCTTTGAGCAGTATTATGTTCATTTTTATGGGGCGTCTAAATCAAGATTATTTGCAATTTTAGACACAGGCACTGAAATGCTTAGTTTTGAAAACTCAGTGTAAGACTATAGCACCTAATCTTTTCTTGTTGTTTGTTTTGAAACAGAATCTCACATGTAGTCCAGGCTGGCCTCAAATTAGAGATCCTCTTTCCTCAGCCTCCCAAATGCTTGAATTACAGGCGTGTGTCACCTTGCCTGGCTCTCTTCTATTCTTATTCCTGAAGTTCTTCCCATTCCCCTTGAACTACCCAGCAAATTGAGCAGCTGATAGGAAGGAGTAGGGGAGGTCCTGGGTCATACAGACCCACTGATGGCCTTAAGGAAATTTAAGCAAAGGTGGAATTAACTTTTATTTTAAAACACAGATTTATGCTTGCGGGTGGTATGCGCAAAATTACATGTACAATCCTTTCTGTTCAATATTGGCACAAGTTTTATTTTAATTTTTTGCAGTGCAGGGGATTGAACCCAGTGCCTCTGCAGTGTGCTACATCCCCAGCTATTTTTAATTTTTTAAAATATTGAGACAGGGACTCTTAAGTCACTGAGTTTCCCAGGTGGGGATCAAGTTTTCTGTCCTGCCTCAGCCTCCCGGAGTGCTGGGATTACAAGTGTATGCCACTTCTCCCATCTCAGCATGGACAATTTTTAGAAATGAAAATATCCTTTAAAAATGTGTCATGCCTCTTTTAAGTTTAAAGTTAGTAGATTACTTTTCTTTCTCCCTTTCACTCTTTGTCCCTTATGCATAGTTATGTCTTGTATCTGTCCTTTAGGTTTGTTGTAACGGCACAAGAGTATTTGTGCAAAAGGAAATTCTTGGTAAGTTCACTGAAGAAGTGGTGAAACAGACCCAGAAGATAAAAATTGGAGATCCCCTTCTGGAAGATACAAGAATGGGTCCGCTCATCAACCGGCCGCACCTGGAGCGAGTCCTCGGCTTTGTGAAGTTGGCAAAGGAGCAGGTGAGAAGTGAGCAGCAGCTGGGCGGGCCGAGGGAAGAGTTGTCTATTGTCACTGTCCCATCCCCTTTCCTGTGTCGCTATGCACTGGCTGGAAGTGTCCCTGAGCAGTGTTCTGCCCTGTATCTGTTGGTTTGTTCAGGATACTCATAACCTTTCAGGAATGCTGTGGGGCTGTATGTTTAATGCAAAAGACACATTCATTTTCCTTTCTTTGGCAGGGTGCTAAAGTGTTATGTGGTGGAGACCTGTACGTACCTGAGGATCCCAAATTAAAAGATGGATACTACATGAGACCTTGTATATTGAGTATGTCTTCTTGTTTGCTTTTATGTGATTTGAATTAAATACTGAATAGATAGGAGTGAATATTTATAAAATATATATGTAGTATAAAGTGAGGGCTGGAATACCATGCGTTCCATTACTCAGGTTTAAAAAGTAGAAGGGCCGGGGATTTAGCTCAGTGGTTCCACCATCTGCCTTGCAAGCTCAAGGTCCTGAGTTCAATCCCAAGTACCAAAAAAAAAAAAAAAAGTAGAAGTGCCCCATCAACTTTGAATCCCTCTGGGTGCCCTTCCATTAGAGAAGTCATATGTCTTAGTTTACCTGGGACAACATCTATTGTTCTGCAAGCAGGGAGAACAAAAAAATGAAAGCGGAAAAAAAAAAAGAAGTGCCTAAGGTTGTTTTGTTTTGTTTTGTTTTTTGTACCAGGGATCCAACTCAGGACCTTGTGCTTATGAGACAGGTGGCCACACCACTGAGCTAAATCCCCGGCTGTTTTCTTTCGTTTTGCAGAACTGGGGATTGAACCCAGGGCCTCTGCACTGAGCTACATCTTCAACCTTTTAAAAAATTGTTTTGTTTTGAGACAGAGTCTCACTAAGTTGTTACTCTGCCTAGGCTGGGCTCAAACTTGAAATCCTTCTACTTCAGCCTTCCAGAGTGCTGGGATTACAGGAGTGAGCCACCATTTGCGGCTGCAAATGCATATTTGATAAAAATTTAAGTAATGAATTTAATTCCTCTATAAAGAAAAGAATTTTTCATTTGAACTATTGAACATTAGCGTAATAAAGCCAATTTGTTAGATAATATGTTAGTCTTTTAAAAATCATACAATTTAATGGGCTGGGGATATAGCTCAGTGGTTCCGCTGCCTGCCTTGCAAGTGCAAGGTCCTGAGTTCGATCCCCGGTACCAAAAAAAAAAA